GAAAATGTAATTATGTTGAAGAAATAGTTATATATAATAGTACCATTAGAGGGAATGATAGCATGAGGAAAAAAACTCAAGAGTATTTTCAATCTATGTATGCGGAAGACAGGGCAACTAGGCTAAGTTGGATGGCTTCGAGTTCAAAACTTTGGAGGCTTCTAGCAGAATTAGTATGGAGAGAGAGTTTTCTGAAGATGAGACTTGGGATGGGCTCAATTATTGCAATTGGGATAAAGCACCGGATCTGATGGCTTCAACACGACATTCTTGCAGGAATTTCGAGTAGTGATTAAAAAGGATATCATAGAGATGCTTAAGAGTTCCACGAGTCTGAATTTTTTGTCAAATCTTTGAATTCCACTTTTTTAGTGCTCATTGCCAAAGTTAATGGTGCTAAAGACATCAAGGAGTTTAGACCCATTAATATGATGAGTTGCATTTATAAACTCATTTCAAAAGTCCTGACCAAGAGGTTATCTGAGTTCCTTGGTAAGGTCATTGGGAAGAGGCAGCATGCTTTTTTGGAAGACAAAAATTCTGAATGCTGTAATGGTGGCCAATAAAGTGGTGCATGATCTTGTGGCATGTAACTAATAAGGTATTTTGTGTAAACTAGATATGAAAAATGCATACGACCATGTTAATTGGAACTTTGTGGACTACATGTTGAGCAGATTGGGATTTGGGCATAAGTGGAGGAGGTGAATGATTTGTATTACTACGCCTTCTTTTGCCATTATGGTGAATGGTGGTCCTTTTTCTTTCTTCAAGGCATCGAAGGGGTTGAGACAGGGGAACTCACTTTCTCCCGTTTTGTTTTTTATTGTGATGGAAGCGCTAAGTAGGCTTATTGAGTGGGCTTGCGAGATAGATTTGTTGAAAGGGGTGATAGTGGGTGGTGGAGTTCATGGGATAGAGGTCTCTCATTTTTTCTTTGCTAATGATATTTTGATCTTCTGTCAACCAGAGATAAGGATGATTTTGAATTTATGGTGTGTTCTTTTATGCTTCTAGGCGGTCTTCGAGTTGAAAATTAATCTAAATAAATTTGAGTTGGTGAAGATTGGGAACAAAAGGGAAGAAATTATGTTAGCTGAGTTGTTGGGCTGCAAAGCGGTGAGATTGTCTATTAAGTACCTCGGTTTGCTTTTGGGTTCTAAATATAAGGATGTGAAGACGTGGGAACCTGTGATTAACCTATTTGAAAGAAGACTAGCTAGTTGGAAGAGAAGTTTTTTATATAAGGGTGGCAGGTGAAGACTAATAAAGAGTACACTCTCCAACCTTCCAATTTACTTTCTATCTGCTCTTACTATCCTCGTTAAGATGGTAAAAATAAATGGAACCCATCCAATGTAGGTTCTTGTGGGAGAAGAAGAAAATACTATTTAGTCAAATGGGAGGAGGTGAAAATACTATTAATACTATCTGCTCTCCAAGGTAAATGGCTATGGAGATTCATGAGTGAAGATGCGAGGTTGTGGAAGGAGGTGATTGATGTTAGGTGGGGGGGTGGGGGATAGGAGTGGGTGGCGAGGGAGATGGTTAGATCTCATGGGAAGATTGAGATGGGTAGACGACAGTTCTATGATTGTTTTCAATGGAG